AGAGTATTGTTCTTGGAGTAGATAGTAGCAGCACTAAGAGAATCAGGTGAACGTTAGTGAACGTTTCTTAGTGACAAATACACTGAAAGGACTTCCACCAAAGTACAAGAATTTTGTAGATGCCACTAATCACGCAACCTTCCATATGATTACATTGAATTAATGACAGCCTTATTGGGTCATGAAGATCACCTTAGAAAAATTGGGTCTTGAAGATCACCTCAGAAAATTCTGATACAGAAAGAGTAATGGTTGCCCATGGCAATAGTACAGTTAAACAGAAATGCTTTAAGTATGGTGAACCAGGCCATTTTGCATCAAAATGATATAAAGGTGGTGAGTTTAAAAAAGTAAATAAATCACACAAATCAGTTTTTGACAAGGTTTGATGTTTACTGATAGTCCAAATTACCCAAAGATATGTGGGGTTATGCTGTGAAGGCTGCTTGTTACTTCAGGAATAGGTGCTATAGTCCCAGGACAAAGAAGACTCTGGTAGAAATACTTACTGGAAAACAGCCAAACATCAGCAGAATGAATATTTTTTGAGTATGATGTTTTGCATATGAACAAGAGAAGAAGAAACTTGACTCCAGGACCAAGAAAGGAAGTTTTGTGGGCTATGGTGACCAGAGCCCAGCCCATGATGACATCTTGGTGGAGACTAGACTTCAGCAAAAATCACTTCAAGGAAATCAAGACGAGCCACCAGATAGTGCAAGTGAAGAAAGAAGATATCCAACTCGAGAAAGACGGAAACCCTCATGACTGCATTACTGGTGAACTGGATGACAGTATATCCAGTGTGACACATAACAGCTTCATACATCATTGCTACCAATTGTCACATATCTCAATACCAGTCACCTAACTAGAGGCTATTGCATCTCCAGAGGGACCCCAGGGGAAGAAAGCAATGGACGAGGAAATCTCTTCACTTCAAGACATCACCTGTGACCTTACTACACTGCCTGAGTCACATACAGCAGTAGGTGGAAGATAGGTCTATCAAGTTAAACCCAGACCAAACAGCAAGGAAGAATACAAAGCAATGTACTTCACCAAAAGATGTCACTATGGAGACACATTTGCACCAACAGTAAGAATGTCTACATTTCATGCTTTGTTCAATATGGCTGTACAGAAAAATATGGTAATACAGCAAATGGATGTTAAAACAGCTTATTGGAAAGCTGATATTGATCATGAAATTTATGTAGAACAACCTGAAAGTTATTAGGAAAAAGATCGCAATGGAATTTTTTTGTATTGTAAACTGGAAAAGTCACTTTATGGTCTGAAACAAAGTGGCAGGATGTGGAATAGTGCAATCCATAATATCTTTATTTCAGAAGTTTTCAAGCAATCACAGAGTGTTCATTGTCTATATCTGATGCATGATAGGGACAGTGATATTGTTGTGCTCTTATGGGTGGATGACTTCGTTATTGCCAGCTGTAACATGTCCCTGAAGAACAGATGTAAAAAAAAAAATTGTTAAAAATTTAGAATGACTGATTTAGGTAAAAATTACATTGAGATGAATCAAACCAAATATGTATAAAAGATATTGGAGAGATTCAGTATGTCATTGTTATGCAAGAAATATACACTGTGATCCAAATATTGTAAACACCTCAGCAGTAGAATCTAATGAGTTGATTAATGCAACTCTTTACAAAGAAATAGTTGGTAGTCTCATACATGTAATGACAGGTACTAGACTAGACTTGTACTATATAGTTACAAAACTTTTACAATATATGTCAAAACCCACAAAAGCTCAAATCAAATTCTGCCAAGCACGTTCTTAAGTACTTGAAGGGCACCATGACATATGGTCTTACATTTAGAAAGTCAGATGAACCAATTTAACTCCAAGGATTTTGTGATTCTGACTAGGGATCATCTGAAGACAGAAAAAGCATAATAGGATATTGTTTTCAATTACATAAATATGGACCACTTATATCATGGAAAAGTAAGAAGTACTTTCATCTTGTGAAGCAGAGTATATGGCCATTACTTATTCCATTCAGGAAGCAAAGAACCTAAGACAAATTGTATCTGATCTATTAGGATATAAGTTAAAATCTGTAGACTTAATGATAACCAAGGTGCTATTAATCTTGCCAAAAATCCAGTAAATCACCAAAGATCAAAGCACATTGATATTCATTACCATTTCATTAGAAATGAAGTAGAGAAAGGTAATGTAAAGTTATTTCATATTCCTACACAGCAGAATCCAGCTGATATATTTCCAAAACCTGTAAACCAGAAGAAGTTGAATTTTTAATTGTCTCAGGGGATAGATTCTCAGATCACATACCCATCTTTAATTAAGAGGGGGTGTTAGACAAATCAAAGATGTTTATAAGGATCCTTTTATTTCATGTATCTATGGTATACCTCACATTAACCTAAGCTAAGGTTTATATCTGTAATGTAAGCAACCCTCTGTAGTGCCACATAGATCCCTCTCAATATATAAAGTGCA